GTCTAATGATGTCATGAAACGTCCTTTTGCTCTTCATGGATATGCTTCGTATTAATATTTGAAAGTATTTCTCGAAAATATTCGGGTAAAAAAAAAAAACTTCGTTTTCTTTATAGAACATTCTCCGTTAAAGTCGTATAAAGAATGTCCGATTTCTGATTCACAAAAATATAAAAAGAAAAAGAATGTTGATTGCTGTAGGTTTTTCATGCGCACATGCTCTGCTGGGCTGGTCTACTGCTGCCTTTCAGCCTCGTATGTCTTTGGCTGTGTAAACCGGTTTGCCAGGCAGCGCGCCATATGCGCTGCTGGTCATAGGATTTTTTAGCCGGCGCGACGACGGAAGCGTTGCCCGAGATTTCTTTCAACTAAACTAATTTGCCCTTTTGATTATTTTTCCTGTGAATTTCAGCATCAAATTGGAGTGCGAGAAGCTGGCGAACGAGAAGACCGAAATGCAGCGCCATTATGTTATGGTAAAGACATATACATATATAAATATATAATTGATGGACTTTCAATTTCATTATGTTTAATCTAATCCCTTTCTGTTTTACATTTTCTAATGCAGTACTATGAAATGTCCTATGGCCTTAATGTGGAAATGCACAAGCAAACGGAAATCGCGAAGCGTCTTAACACACTAATCAACCAGCTACTTCCATTCCTACAGGCCGATCATCAGCAACAAGTGCTGCAGGCGGTAGAGCGTGCGAAGCAAGTCACAATGCAAGAGCTGAATCTGATCATTGGGGTAAGTTGGGAGTGAAATTATTTGAAAATTTGATATATACACACTTAGCCAGTTCCCAATATACTACAAAATACTATATAAAAAATTAAATAGTTTAATGCTAAAGTTTTAAAATATTCCCTATCAAGCATAGAAAAAATTAAAAATCATGTGAATTCCCAGAAATAGGTTTAATAAAATAAAAATGTTAATGCTATAAAGAACAGCTGAAAATACCTTAATTATAATAAATAATTTAGTATTGCTCCATCTTAAACTGCCCAAATATTTTCAATGATAAAGCTCTACATATTTGCTAAATAGTTTCATTGCCTCACATTTTTTGCCTATTTTTTGTAAGATTAGTTTAGCATTAAAAAATAGTTTTATAATTTTTCAAGCTGCATGACCAACTTGTTTAATTTATGTTTATACTATAATAATTATATGCGAACTGTAAATACTATAATTTTATTAAACGATGGGTTTGTGCGTGCGGTATGCGTGTGTCTGCAGCAGCATCAGCAGCAACATGGAATACAACAACTTTTAGTAAGTGATTATAATTTTGTTTGTTTGCCATTTGCGTTCGTTTGTTTGTTTGCTTGTTGCGTTGTTTCTCGCTCGCCGCTCCACAAGGTGTTGTGTTCATTCTGTTGAATTCTTTTTTATTTTTAATACAATGCGTCAAGACCAAATCGCCGCCGCTTGTTCTACTTGTCGATGTTGTTGGTGTTGTATGCACACACACGCACAGCTACATCCAACTAGCCTTTGTTACACGTCCTAAAGCCAAATAACAGAAACAATTGAAGCGCCTGCACTTCAGCAATCAGAATTTTTTCAGCAAACTAACTGCCAGCGGCTTTTCCATTGCAGCAACAAATACACGCACAACAGGTGCCAGGCGGACCGCCACAGCCGATGAGTGCACTAAATCCGTTTGCATTGGGTGCCACAATGGGCTTGCCACACGGGCCACAGGGCTTGCTCAAAGCGCCGCCGGACCATCAAAGGCCGGACATAAAGCCCATGGGCTTGGAGGGACCAGCGGGCGCTGAAGAGCGCCTGGTAAGTGGCAGCACTCAAAGATCGTAGATCGTTTCAAATACTTATCCATCTATTTATAATCTTGCAGCGCAATTCGGTTTCGCCAGCGGATCGTGAGAAGTACCGTACGCGCTCGCCGCTGGACATTGAGAACGACTCGAAACGTCGAAAAGATGAGAAACTGCAAGTGAGTATCAAGCCATAATGAGCGTATATATCATTTAGTATGCTCGTATCATTGTGTCATCAGCTGTTGCTGCCTCTCAACTCACCAAAAAGAAAACAAAAAACATATTCCTTTAATATAAAGTAGCCTATCTCATATGTAGTTGTTGTTGTTGTCTATCTCTAATCCTCTGTTAATTCATGCGCTTCACAAAACCGAAATTAAAACTATATACTTGTAGAGTAGTGCAATTAACAGCTGAATTGCTATTTGGGTTGTTGATGTTATCGTGTACGAATTTTGTTTTATTGTGTTTGTTTGTTTTTTTCAAAATTATTTGCAGGACGATGAAGGCGAGAAAAGCGATCAAGATTTAGTCGTAGATGTTGCTAATGAAATGGTGAGTTGAGTGTCAGCCCTGATATTCATGCAACAAACTCCTCAAAATAAAAACAAACAAAATAAAACTTTTCGAATAGATACCAAGAAAAATAAAAGTAACTGTAATTTCAATAACCATTGTAGGAATCCCACTCACCACGTCCCAATGGCGAACATGTGTCCATGGAGGTGCGCGATCGTGAAAGCTTAAACGGCGAGCGTCTGGACAAACCGGGTAGCAGTGGCATCAAACAGGAGCGTCCGCCCTCGAGGTCAGGCTCCAGTTCTTCACGTTCAACACCCAGCCTCAAGACAAAAGATGTAAGAGCCAAAACTATATTTGATGTGCTCTTGACAACTGTGAACCATTGCTATAGTCTAGAGAGTTGAAGACTAAACAGATGGAGATTGTAATTATTATTATTTACTTAATTTTTGATTTCAATCATAGATGGATAAGCCGGGCACACCGGGCGCAAAGGCACGCACACCGACACCAAACGCTGCAGCACCATCTCAGGGCGCAAATCCTAAACAAATGATGCAACAAGGTGGACCACCGCCGGCTGGCTATCCAGCGTCGCCGTATCAGCGACCGGCGGATCCCTATCAGCGTCCACCATCGGATCCCGCCTATGGACGACCGCCGTTGCCGTACGATCCGCATGCGCATGTACGAACAAACGGCATTCCACATCCCTCGGCATTAACTGGTGGAAAGCCGTAAGTACATCGTCTCATATTATCCACGTCCATTGTCTAACTGTATCTGTTTTCTTTTTGGTGTAGTGCTTACTCTTTCCATATGAACGGTGAGGGCAGCTTGCAGCCGGTGCCATTCCCGCCGGACGCGCTGGTGGGCGTTGGTATACCGAGACATGCGCGACAAATTAACACGTTATCGCATGGGGAGGTCGTGTGTGCGGTGACTATTTCAAATCCTACAAAATATGTCTATACGGGCGGCAAGGGCTGCGTGAAAGTGTGGGACATCTCACAGCCGGGCAATAAGAATCCCGTCAGCCAGCTGGATTGCCTGCAGCGCGATAATTATATACGCTCGGTGAAGCTACTGCCGGATGGACGCACACTTATTGTTGGTGGCGAAGCATCGAATCTATCGATATGGGATTTGGCCAGTCCCACGCCTCGCATCAAGGCCGAGCTAACCTCAGCAGCGCCTGCCTGTTATGCGCTCGCCATCAGCCCCGATTCGAAGGTGTGCTTCTCGTGCTGCAGCGATGGTAACATCGCTGTCTGGGATTTACACAATGAGATACTGGTGCGTCAGTTCCAGGGCCACACGGACGGTGCCTCGTGTATCGATATCAGTCCGGATGGCTCTCGATTATGGACTGGCGGCCTGGACAACACGGTGCGCTCGTGGGATCTGCGCGAAGGCCGCCAGCTGCAGCAACACGATTTCAGTTCTCAAATATTTTCACTTGGCTACTGTCCCACGGGTTAGTTTTTACTTTCTAATTGCAAGGTGTTAAAACACATCATTATTTACGCCCTCCGCTCTCTTAACAGGTGACTGGCTGGCCGTGGGCATGGAGAACTCGCATGTGGAAGTGTTGCATGCATCGAAACCAGACAAGTATCAGCTGCATTTGCACGAGAGCTGCGTTCTGTCGCTGCGGTTTGCCACCTGCGGCAAATGGTTCGTTTCCACCGGCAAAGACAACCTGCTAAACGCATGGCGAACACCATATGGTGCCAGTATATTCCAGGTGAGTGATTCAATCCAAGCTCTCAAATAAGTATTCGAATGGATTAAAATTGCTAATTTTGGTCAAACAATCAATGCTCAAAATTTGTCTATGAATATTTAGTAAATATTTTCTCAAGTTCATCTGCAATGATCATCATGATCTGTTTTCCTTTACTATTATTCAAAACTGAACCTTATAAATTAACAATTCACGTATTTTATATAATAATATAATATATATATAATAAATCTATATTTCTTCCTTATTTATATCGCTTGCAGTCGAAGGAAACATCATCCGTACTTAGCTGCGACATATCAACTGACGACAAATATATTGTGACGGGTTCGGGCGATAAGAAGGCTACTGTCTATGAAGTTATTTATTAAAACAAAATCAACAACAACAACAGAAACAACAATACAAAAAGAACACCAGAGGGAATCCACACTTTTCATTTTGTAATAAGCGCATATAGGTTTTTATTACAACTATACAAAATAATAGGAATGAAAAATACATTGTTTGATAGCATGCTAATAACAACAAACAAAGAAAGAGCAGCAGCAACAACACATTGGCAGCAGCGGGTGCATAAGAGCGAAGTAAAATTTCTATAATATAAATAAAAATAAAACAAAATGAAAGAAAAACCTATAAAAAAAATTAAGCGTACTTTTAGCTTTTAAGCCTAGGCTAAGTCCAATAAAAAGTTGAACACAAATTGCAAAGTAAAAAACCTAAAACAAAATAATAATAATAATAATAATGAAGGAAATATAGAGTGCAGCAGAACGGGAAAAAACAAAAAAAAAAAAAAAAAAAAAAAAAAAAAAAAGGAATAACAGTCGGCGTTACCTACTAAGCTCATCAAAAGAATTAAATGCAGGGTCCTTTTTAATTGTGGACCCAGCATGGATTAGTCATTGCTGGAGCGTTGAGATTATGAATACCAGATGAGAACACGGTGTCAGAAATGTGAGTGCTTTTAGTTTGTCTATGTGTTTGTCTACGTCGGCAGCGAAGGTTTTATTTTATTTTTTTTGTAAACGAAATCGAACGTACATCAATAATTGCGTATGCATAACAAAATTCTGTTTTTTTAATTATTTGAATTTTTTTTTTTTTTTAAATTTGTGACTGCTACCACAATGTCCTGAAACGCCCCCCATTTCCCTGCCCGTCGCACACAAAACACATTTGCATGCAGAAAAAGTATATATGTATATTTATTTATATATGTATATTTATATATATATAAATGTACAATTATATATATATAAATGAATATAATTGATAAGCAGTTTAGTTAAGAATTTTACATTATAAATTAATACGACAGTAACAGAAAAACGAAGCAGGCGCCGCCGCAACAGCACGTCCACACATCCGCACATAAGCACACACAAACACACCCACGTACACACACACACACAGATACATCAGTAGTCGGGGGCGCCAAAGCAGCCAGCTTTTGCTTGTATGTAATTTTGAAAAATCAAAAGCAGATTTAAATCCTTTGTCAAATTTAAAAATTTGTAAAATCCTATGTTTCGTGCAGCTAAGAAAGAACAAGAACACAAAACACAAAAATAATAATAATTTAACAAAGAAACTTGTTTACATATTAGTTTATATAGAAATGAATCGGATATATATAAATATATATATATTTAATTGTGGGCACATCTCGCGCCCAGCGGAAATTGTAATAAGCAAGTAACAGAGAATAGAGTGCAGCACACGCTTCGATTTTTAATTTTACAAATATTATTATTATTGTGGTTATATATGTATATAATTATATTATAAATAATTGAAGCAAAACGAAAAAATAAAAAATTATATATGTAATCAAAAGCAAAGTTGACTACTTCTAAAATACATCGGTCGTGTAGACGCTCCGCTGGCGCGGCACAGGAGCACCCTGCTGGCGCGAGAGCTTCGTGTGGAGCTCCCGCATTGTTTCGCACTGGCGACCTGATGTCTTGCGGAACTTCTCGATGGCAATGGGCAGCAGGTTGTCCACCAGAAAGATTTTGTTCTTCATCACAAAGTTGGGCTGTGGATTATGGGTTATAAGTTACTACGATGTTTAAAGGTAGGTAAGTAGTAGTTAATCATCAACTCACATCCACTGACATATCGCTGGGTGGCCTTAACGCGTGGTGAGCTAAAAAGAGATCCCGCAACAGATGCTCCAGGCTCTGCAGCAACGTTTCGCCTTTGGCCAGGCAGCCGCAATGTTCGGTCAGTTGCAGAAACTGGCGTACGAATACCACGGTGGATTGGGTGAGGCTCAGCCATGTATCGCCAGTGGTCTGGGCGCGCACATCTATGCCCAGTGCATCCAGCTCTAGCAGCAATCGCTTCAAATTGGATTTCGTTTGCAAGTTATACGGCTGCCAGCTCTCCTCGGTGCGACCCACGGCGTCCAACAAGCGCTGCTTGGACTCCTCGATGAGCGACTCGAGCGTTGTGCGCAATAGACCCTCCAAATGGTAGCTTATGTCCAGGCCAATCTCAGTTAGCTTTGTGGCCGGCTTGCGCACGCGCTCCACGCACTTGGCCACCGCCTCCAGGGAGGTGCCCTTGGTCAGATAGTGTTTGATCAACTGGCTGGCAAAGTACTGCAGCTCCGCATTACACCACACGACGAGGGCTGCAGGAAAATAGTTTTAGCATGCGGAAAGGAATCGAACAAAATATGCTTACTCACCGCTAACGCAGGCCGGCTGTTGCTCAAAGGCGCTGAGGAAATCGCATGCCACCTGCGTCAAGTCGCAGAAGAAAAGCTCCGATATTTCCGCATTGTTGCGACGCGCCTCACGCTGTGCCACACGCAAACTGACCGTGCAGACCTTCAGCAGTGTGGCGCTCGCCTGCCGGGAGCGACCCATCTCGACGAGTATCTTGAGAGGGCGCCGAACTTCACGCAACGCGATTTGCAGATTACGATTGTGACTGTTCGATAGCTCCTGGAGCAGCACATTGGTCAGCTTCTGCTCCTGCTGCTTAATCTTTGCCTGAATTACGTCCGCCTGGAGCAGTTTGGGTTTGGGCTGGGCCATGCTCAGGAACTCCTGGGTGCGCTTGATCAGCGACTGTGCGTCCTCGAAGTGGCGTTGTGCCACCAGTGTTTGAATTTCCTCGCTGGCTGTGCTCAGCCATTCGGGTGTCTCATCCTCGAGGGATTTCGGTTGCGCATCTGTGGGACTTTGTTCTGGCAACTTTTCGGGCGTGGCAGATTTGGATTGGGCTTGCTGTTGCTGTTGCTTGGATCGATTTGGCGGCTGCGGCGCTTGTCCCTTCTTTGGTTTCTTTTGCTGATCAAAGCGAAAAGCCTCTTCCAGCTTCTCAATCCATTCGCTCTTGCCGGCGGCTGTGATGCTCTGATATATCTTAGAGCCATCAGGCGTTATAATATTGATGGCGTTCTTTACACCGTCCAGATCTTTGATATTGATAACGGCTATCCTTTTGGGATCGTATTCCGTAAGAAATTCCAGGCGTCTGCAAGCAAGGCGAAGTATGAAATGAAAATAGGACCGAATAATATATTAGAGATGCCCTACTTATCATGCTTCACTTTGCACACAATGAGCACATCGTTGAACAGGAAAAAGAAGACGCGTTGTATGGGCCGGTAATCATTGGCATCCAGTTCAATGAGCGCTCCCTCGTTCAAGAACGTTTTTCCTTCAAGATTCCCATTGAAGCCCTGCACCATTTCCTTAACAGCGCGCGTCGCCTGACTGTTCTCCACGTCCTCAGTGGCTGCACTGCTCTCCGCCTCGATGCTGTCCGCCTTGAGATTGCTTGTGGTCTTCCCATCGGTCATGGTGGCCAAGATGTTGCGCTGCTCGATGAGAATATGCGACAGCTGATACATTTCCGACTCCAGATCTGCAGACATAAGCATATTAGAGCTGACACTTAATATAGAATATTTGTCACTTACGTGAGATCTCCTTGGCCGTTTGTATGAACTGCATATAGTTCTTTTTGCAGGTCTGCTTAAGCATTGCCGAAGTCTGCTCATTGTAGGCCTCGATTTCCTTTTTTCGCTGCTGCAAATCGCTTCCGCCCACACACTCCCGTGTCAGCTCCTTCGTGTCTATACGGATTAAAAAAGAATGTGCTTAAAGCAAGTCAGATTAATTGACAATAACGCCTACACTTATCCACGCTAAAATTGAAATCGTCGAATTCCTTCATTGTTGATTAGAAAAATGAAACATTAACTCAAAACTTGTTGTGAGCTGAGCTATGCAGATGTTAACGTAAGCGCAAACAAAATAACGTAAGCTTAACATTATTGATGCAGCGTTTCGTAATGCCTAGTATGGTGCTCACAGAGCAAAGAAATTTACCATACACAAACAAGTTATAAATATTAATTGTAGTACTCAGTAAATATAATTATTACAAAATAAAATTAATGGAATTATCTTGCAGCTCAAGTAGCCACAAACAATTAATATATGCCAACAGCAAAATTTATGAACTAAGCATAACATGTTAATGATAGGAGTTTTCTGTTAGCTGAAAAGAAATTCTGTTAAACAACTTAGTGGCAACACCAGACCATCATTTGTTGTTCTGATGAGTAATTCTTAAGAATTTAATTCCTACACAGTTCTTAAGACGTAAATAGTTATTAATTTGGCAAAATGGATTGGCTTTTCGGCAAAAAGATCTCACCGGATGAGATGCTCCGCAAGAATCAGCGTGCTCTGAACAAGGCAATGCGTGATTTGGATCGTGAGCGCATGAAAATGGACCAACAAGAAAAGAAAATCATTGCCGACATCAAGAAAATGGCCAAAGAGGGCCAAATGGATGCGGTCAAGATCATGGCCAAGGATTTAGTGCGCACGCGTCGCTATTCCAAGAAGTTTATGCTCATGAAGGCCAACATTCAGGCTGTCTCGCTTAAAATACAAACGCTTAAATCTCAAAACACAATGGCCCAAGCAATGAAAGGTGAGGGGAGAGAAGGTTTCCATTGATGATTCACAATTTACTTATGATATCGTTATTTTCGCAGGTGTCACCAAGGCCATGCAGAACATGAATCGTCAATTGAATCTCCCGCAAATACAAAAGATACTGCAGGACTTTGAAAGGCAGTCGGAGATGATGGATATGAAGGAGGAGATGATCAACGACGCCATCGACGATGCCATGGAGGATGAGGGCGATGAGGAGGAGACTGACGCTGTTGTCTCCCAAGTGCTTGACGAACTGGGCCTACAGCTGGGCGAGCAATTGGGCGATCTACCCACTGCCTCCGGCTCGCTGTCAATAGCAGGCGGAGCGGGTGCTCAGAAAACAGCTTCGGCTGTTGCTGCAGGCGGAGCAGGTGGCGGACCATCCTCTGGTGGTGGGGGCGGCGCAGGTGGTGGCGGTGCAAGTGGTGGCAGCGGTGGTTCAACACCCATGTCCGATGCCGATGCCGATTTGCAAGCGCGCCTGGACAAGCTGCGCAAGGATTAGTTAAGCACCGTATTCACCTGCCGTTTTATATGCTAGACTCTGTTATTTTTAAGTGACAAATTTGTTAACTTTGATATGCCCGTAAATTCCCTCACGCAAAAAGATTGTATCGCTAATTATGATAACAAGCGTAAATATTCATATATTTAAGTAAGGGAGGAGGGATTTACAATTAAGATTACACACGTATTAGGAAAACACACACAATTCAAGCTAGAGTTTCAACAATTGAATGGGCGATTCCGCAGGGAGTTTCATTGGAAACCATTGGCTAAGAACACGCGCTCCACCTCCTGAAAGACTTTGTCCGCATCGGGGCTAGCGTCAATTCTCTTGACCTGCCCTGCATTCTCAAAGTATTTGATGATGGGCAACGAGTCGTTGTTGTAGGTTTGGATACGCTTTTTCAGGCTTTCCATGTTGTCGTCGCTGCGGCCGGAGCCGCTCTGGCCGCGTCCTAAGCAGCGCTTCACGCACACATCTTCGGCGCAATCGAAGAACAGCACAAACTGCATTTCTGTCTTGTCGGACATCTGGCGGTTCCAGCCATCCAAATTGTCCTGGTTGCGGGGGAATCCATCGATAAGAAACCGTGACTTGCCCGAGTTTTTCATCGCATTTTCCAGCAGCGAGCATGTGACCTCTACGGGAACTATCTTGCCATTGCGTATGTACTCCTCGATAAGCTGGCCATATTCAGAGCCCTCGCGTGAGCGCTCCTCACGCAACAAATCGCCAGCCGATAAGTGTTCGAATTGAAATCGTTCGACAATTTTCGAGCACTGCGTGCCTTTGCCCGCACCGGGGCCTCCTAAAACAAAGACAACCTTTGGCTTCGCACTCGACATTCTGTATTTGGGTCTTATGAGCGACGCTTGGTTGTGTAAGCTGAGGTAATTGGTTTTACTGCAGATATTGTGGTTGTTGTTGTACAGCTGGGAATGTTGGAACTGCTGAGGTAGCACTGCGACACCTTGGCCAAGAGAGTCAAGTGTTTTTGGTATCCGCGTAATTGCGCGCCACATTGACAACTGAGACTAAGTCGTGGCGTGTGTACCTAAGAATTTCCACTGGAAATACACGTTCTGACGTCATTGCTAAGCCGCCAGCTGTTAGCGAAGAAGAAGAAGCGATGGCAGCAACAATGCGCGTATACCAACACTGGCTGCATTTCAAGCGCGAAAAATTGGTTCACTAATGCAAATCATAATTTTAAATTGAATGTGTATTTCCCAGATATTTATATAAGTTTCGCTTGGTTTTTCTGTATAAGATCGGCCACCAGTTGATAGGGTATGATGTGCTGAGACCCTGGCGTAAGATCCACCTCTTCATCATCAACGCCCACAATAACGCCAGACACTACAAATTAAGATTTATAAATGAAGAATGTATAACATACATTTGAAGAGTCCCACGCACCTGCCACATTAGCCTTGAGAAATACGTGGCTCATGAGATTGGGCGCCACAATTCGCTGCTCGGCCTCACCCCGCTGCTGATTGGGCATATACCGTGTGGCCACTTTGCTGAAGTATTCATCTACATTTGTCGCGAACTCCTGCGCATATTTCGCCTCTTCGGGCGAGAGTCGTTTGTCGGCTGCATCGTATGTTGCATCCTGATTGATAATGTACTGCGTGAAGGCCTCGATTTTTTGCAAACGACAGCGCAAGTAGCTGGCCATAATATAGCGTATGCGTTCCAGTTCCATTTGATGCACCACGTAACGAAAGTCATTCTTGTCTAGATCCTTCATTTGCTCTTCCATGTGAGCTACTTGTGACATCATCAGCTCCAACATGTCTGACTGGTGCTGCAACAATTCGGGTGCAAACATCTCGTTTGTCCAAGCGGTTTCCAAAATTTCCAGAACCTGCGTTTACAAAATATAACAATGCAATAGAGTCTCTTAGTTCACTAACTGAGAACTCACCTTTTGTGCGGTTATCGGCTCTGCATCCTCGTCATCATCATCGTCCCCCTCATAGGCACGGGCTAGGTCAGCTTCAGTGCTCAGCTCATGCTCATTTGGAGCTTGCTCCACATTTTCGCTGTCCGACATTATTTCGCGCGTCGACATGTAAACAAAAGTTCAGCTGTCAGCAATTACGTTGACATGCGAATGGCAAGCATGTAAGTAATCACAATTGCACAGCACTGGTATAGCACGCTATGGCACAAACCGACTTCCAAAAGAATTTTCGCTTAATTGTTGAAAGGATATTCAACAATTGGCAAAATCTACGCTTGGCTGTTGAGCATGGCATGGGTGGACGCAATGGCCAGCAGGTATGCGAATATTTCATTTAATTCTCAAACCAAATGTAACCTAACAATTTCGCAGGTGGCCATACAAATAATGGACTACACATATGAATACTGTGTGGGTAATGAGAATATAACGCAGGGTGAGCTGCAGGAGGTGATCGAAGAGCTGATGGATCAGGAATTCAACACACTATGCGACGATCAGTCCATACCCGAGATATGCCGCAATCTATTGCGGTATAAACAAATGGCAATGGCCTCCCAATACCCACAGATTGAAATGGAGCTTAGCAAATTACCACAAGGAAAGGATTGGCTACGTCCCGATGTCAAAATTACATACACACCCATAGACGACGACTCATCGTCTGACGAGGACATGGAAGACGATGACGAAAGTGCTGAGGATCCCATGAATGCAGCTGACAGCGACGAGGAGGCCGGCACAAGCAGCGGGCGGGTTACCCGCTCTCAGGCCCGCAAACAGCAAGCAGAACAGTTTGTGGAGCCAGAGGAGGGCTGGACGACAGTGCGTCGCAAGTGAAGTTAATAATATTAAAAGCAATTTTGTTAGTTGTAGTATGTGGCGTTTATTTCTTGTAGATCTAGAAATCGAAGTGGAGGTATGGGCGAGCGAGTCTTTGCTACGTGCTCCGTTTTGCACATATTGCACAGGGTGGTAGTTGGCGACGGGTTACGTTTGGGTGTCGCTTCAGAGCGTTGGTTCTGAAGTTGGGACCAAGAGGTGAACTCTGATCCTTTGGGCAGCACCAGCTTGAGATCCACAACCGAGGCAATTGAATCGATATTGGGAGTCAATGAAAGATTGATGGCCGGATAGATGATGACGGCAAAGAAGGCACAGACCATAATCAGCACTGGCATGAATACCGCAAAATACTTGTCCGGCAAATAGGAGTGCAGGCCCAGTTCCACCGGTAGAAAGGCCCACGCCACATAAACAAAGAATAGCACAGTGAAAAGTATATAAAATGCAAATCCATAGATTGCTCTATGTGGAGTCGGCGCTGGAGTGTGTTCCGGCATTGTTATTTGGTTTCGCTTCAGGTTGTTCGCCGAACAGTTTAATTGTGTCCTGGCACAGTAGCAGGCACTCAAAGAACGATGTTATGGCAGTACGTAAATTCTTTACTTGGTCGGCACTAAAGTGGACAACAAGCACATCGTCCTCCAGACTCAGCGTTTTCTGCACAAAGTTTCGGCGCGGTTCCTGATCCACACTCAACACTCGATAGGCAATCTTGGCATGCTCCGGCGTATCGAACGGCACTCGTATTGTGCTGTAAAATTTAGTTTTTAATGTGACAGTACAACAATTTATTATAGACGTACGATTCGTTCGGCTTGCTGACATTCGCTTTAAGTGGCATCATAAATGAATTATGACAATTTTTAAGTTTATCAACCGCATTAATTTGTTGGCTTGGATTGTGAATGGCAATTTAAGCAAAACAGCTGTTCGAGTAGCTGAGACACAAACCAAGAGAACATGT